TCTACAACGCAGAATTTTAATAATGCATAAACTTTTCATATATGTTAGCAATGGAGAGATTTCATCCAGAAATTTTAGGATAAGCATAAAGGATAACTTTCTCAGCGTTGATCAATCACTCAGGGATGCGCCATGCATTCGACTTCATCAAGCATCGTTTGGAGGTGACTAAGCACATATCTGGTCTTTATAATGACTCGAGGTGGCCTACTGATAGATCGAGCCATAGCTGTTATCCTCCCAGACAAGTCTGGTACTAATTTTCCGACCCCGGAGGGATAGAACGCTTGATGGGCCATGAGCGCGGAGATCGATTCTACGTGTGTTACCGGGCGCCTCCGACAACTGCACTGTTTTCCTTATTGTTTGACAATTAGCATTCTCCATAGACCCGTACAAAATTTTGAAAGCAGTTAAATGCGTTGAGAACAGTACCCTTTTTCAAATTTTGCTTTGCATTCAGTTTTTTTTTTGAATACCACTAATCGCTAATACACATTATTCCCCATTTAAAGAGATCGTTCTTTTTTTGCACCCGTATAGTAAGTCGTCCTTTAATTAACTGGAAAGTGTTATAAATTGTAGAAGGTAAGAGACCAAGAGGAAGTGGGATTAGTTCCCGGCTCCACTTATTTCCAGGATGCAGCGACCACAAGATCAGCGATGCCTCCGTCATACGGTGCTTCTAACCCCCTAATGTGACGAATCACAACGCGTCTTTTTTAATCTTCCATTTTACTTTGTAGAGGAACTAGACTTTATTAACCATCTCATGTTTATTATAATTTTTTTTCAAAGTAGTTCTTCTTTCAGAAAAAAGTGTCAAGTAGTTCAGTGGTCTTTTTTCGGCGTGTCCTTCTTCTCACTTCTAATCAGTTGGAAATCTTCTTATCTTGACATATAGGTGCTAGTTTTGATTGAATACCCCTAAATTTAGTTTATGATTTTTTCTTCTATAAAAATTTACCTTATTAACTATCTGACAAAGGGGTAACTTCCCAGTTTCTTCAGTAATTGCGCTCTCGACTGACTGATGATAGTCCTTGCTTTTTTTCCATTTTATTCCTGCAACTTTTCAAATTTTTTTGAAATATCAATAAATGAGGCGTAAAAAGCGCAGCGGTTAAAGGATTCTGCAATAATATACTCATGGTCAATGGTTCGACGTTACCTTGGTCCGAGAAATACTTGTATTTCTCTGGAACTCGCGAAATTGCTACCAGACTTCTTTGGGAACAGCTCCCTTCGATTCACAAATTATGGTCTACCTTATGTGAACTTAGAAGCGCTCTAGTAAATCCATCCTAGAATTCTAGGAAAAATGAACTCCGCTAGCAATGGTAATCGTTAAGAATGCAAACCTCTCAAATGCTAACAAATGGTACACGCAAATCCGAAAACCTTCGTGGATGACGTATGCGGGACACTGAACGGAATGAAAAAATTGCTGAGATTAGCACAATGCATGATGCTTGTTCACTGGGAGAAATGCCAGCAAATAAGTGCAAGCAAGTACCATTAAGTATAACATAACAATACAATGGGCGCGTGTGGCGCAGTGGTCGGATGCGCCCTGCAACACACACATGAGATCGATCTCTGTGCCACTGGCCCACCAAATCTTCCATCCCTCCCGGGTCGGCAAAGTGGTACCAGATTTGTCAGGGAGAATAGCAGCACTGGCTCGATACATCGATATGCTACCGCTAATCGTTGTAAAGGCCAGATATGCATTCAATCACCTGCAAACGATGCTTAATGAAGTCGCCCATCCCTTAGGAATTGCTCAACGCCGAGAGTTTTTTCTTTTATCCCTTTATAATAGTACAATTGCATATGCTGTGTAAAGTATACAAATGTGAACCTACATAAGCAGAGCGGTTTAAAAATACAAGTGGGACTTTGAATCAAATGTGGCTCATATTGTCCTGGCAAGTTAGTTTGTTTTTTTTTGTTTTTGTTTTTTTGTTTGTTTTTTTGTTTTTTTTTTGTTAATTTGTTCTCGTGCTTGCTGAACAGAAGTAGAAAGGTATATTCAATCAATGCCGAGGTTAATAGAAAGTCGGACTTGGGAGTTAATTCGTCCAACTTCTCCATAATCTCAATATTGCTGAGATATTATGCCTTTTTATTTTCTGCCTACTATAATTTCGCGGCAGAGTACTAAGCGAAATACAACCACAACGTTGCTGAGATATTTGCAAAACTCTGGACCGCAGGTGTCTGCGGTTGGGAACGAACGCGCTATTGTCCTTTCCGGGGAGTAACGCGTTCACCACCACACCATGCGGGTCCTTTGTTTTGCCTGTCTCTCAGTTATTTCTATCGATCTAGACACCTGCGGTCCAGAGTTTTGCAAATATCTCAGCAACGTTGTGGTTGTATTTCGCTTAGTACCCTGCCGCGAAATTATAGTCAGCAGAAAATAAAAAGGTATAACACTGTGATTTCAACTACAGCCGCAGCTTAACTGGGTTCTATGCCGATTTGGGTGCCCCAGATCAATCCCGCTGACGGGTGATTGCTGTGGCAAAGATCGATAGAAATAGCTGAGAGGCAGGCGAAACAAAGGACCCGCATGGTGTGGTGGTGAACGCGTTACTCCCCGGAAAGGATAATAGCGCGTTCGTTCTCCACTGCAGACACCTGCGGTCCGGTGTTTTGCAAAGATCTCAGCAATACTCTGGTTGTATTTCGTTTAATACCCTGCCATAAAAATTACAGAAGGCAGAAAATAAAAAGTAAACATTGTGAATTCTCCATAATCTGTTATTAAAGATAAGTTGTTGTAAACAATAAAAAGGTAGCGATGAAACGAATTGAATAGACCAGCACATATTTTTTCAGATCCTTTGATGAAAATCACATTCGCTCTCAAAACTCTCTGACTTGTGCTGACACATCGAGAATCACCTTAGTAATTTCTTAATCGATAAGAGACGATGACTAATGTCAATTTTACTATTCCTCTCCTTTTGTCGTATTTCCCCCTGATAGTCCACATTTCCTAATGTTCTGTTCAAATAAAACTCATATTTTAAGAAGATTTTCTATTTTCCAAATGGTTAAGTTGTAGTGAACATCGAGTGCCGAGGTTTCAAGATTCTGTTTTAATGTGCCTGTCCCAATCTTAGTAGCCAGCGCCGTAAAAGACTAAACTATTTGACCCGTCTTCACATCTACTGTACTCATCCCAGCACTTCTCACATTCTTTTAGTTCCTTCACATCCATTGTCCATTAAGATTTTCTAACTTTTTCGTATGAATTCGGTTGCTGCTTGAGGATTTTCATTTCATTTTGAATGTCGTAGAATTCTGGTCGAGCGATTCTTCCTGTACTCCTGACATACCTGAGCTAGAGCGTTCCCAATTGGATTGCAGAGGGAAGTTTTTTTCCGAGACAAGTCCGGTACCATTTTCCCGAACACGGAGGGATGGGAAGCTTGGCTTACCCGGAGCGGAATCGAACTAGCACCATGCTCGTGACCACGGGCATCACCAATGCCGTAAAGAGCTATTCTAAAGAGATCATTTATGGCAGAATGTTTGAAGCAAGACTAACTTCCCTATCTAAATTTTTTTTTCTAGTTCCCGAATTTTCAGGCTCATTCTGAATCCGGGTAGATACAAAATTTTTCAGGTGGTCCGTGAAACGACCAGTATTCACTTTGGAAGAATGAAAATGTAAACTACAGTCGACTTAAAAGGTTAAGTATGAAGTTTTTCTTCATTATCGATTATGTTAGAGCTGTGTAGAAATTACCGTTCTGAAAAAAAATTCACAAAATTATCCATACGAACTTTTGTTTTTACCAGTGTTTACTTATCTTTAACAAAAGTAAACAAAGTGATGTTTTTTCTGGATCTGTCCTAACATACTAATATCCAGCGCAGATTCCCCTCATAGAGTGATATCATTCCTCCCGGCCACGACACTACGTGGTGCCCCTCCGAGCGTGGCTTTGGCTTCCTATATTAGCTGTAATGACAAATCGGCTTATCTTTTAATAATGTTCTGAAAATCATCAACCTCATGCTTACAATAAATGAAATAATTAAGTCTGGATTAACGTGTGCTTAAATTGTTGGGCTTTAACGAGGTTAATAATAAGATTTGTTCGCTCAACGTTTCCACGTCTTCGTCTTCATTAGAGCAGATGATCCGAGTCCGTGGTTTAAAATTGTACAGTCTGTCCTTGCAAATCCGTTTATTACGATTTTTTAATCATTGTGGTGCATGCATCGCATTAGTTAGAGAGGCCCTACAACGCGCACGTAGTCGGTAGTTCGATCCATTTCGTGCAAACAAAGCAAGCTCTCCGAAATAGACTCCTTGTCCTTGTTGTGTATTCATAGGATCTTCCACAATTGTGCTTCTAATTGTGCGGATTCTATCTTGCTTGTTGATTCGACTAAGCTCTTCCAATCAGGCGACGGCCGGACGTCTATAAGTGAGACAGTTCGGGGAGCGTCAGCACTTCCAACACAAATAATTCCCACCCGCATGTTTTCTCTGAAAAAGTCCAATTTTCTTCATTTGTTTTTCCACAACACTCATAGAGCACCGAACTACTGACTGCTCTCTTCTCGTCCTTCATTAACACCATTCTGGCTTCAAGTCTTCCCCTTTTCTCAATATTCTCAACAGTTCTTTCTTAATTGCTTTGGCCATAGAAAAATGAAGACGAAGACGTCGAGACGTTAACCAATTAGAAAATGTATAACAACCTCGTGTAAGATGAACAGTTCAAAGGAATTTATTGATTCATCACACCGGGGCAATGTGAAAATCGCTTCAGTTAAGTATAAATTACAGAATTTGATATTTCCTCGATGATTCACTGAACGAAGAAAAATCTCACATCACTTTAATTGATCGATCCATAAATAAGAAAAATCGATGAAAATTTACTTGGTTTCCTTTCGCTAGTTCTTTGGTATTGCTTTCGTCCGTTCCTTATCGCTAACGGCCAGAAACAAATCTCATCCTTTTTTCGAAAATGTTTCTTTTTTGTGTGTATCTTTCCGATGATGATGCTGATGACAATAATGACGATGGTGATGACGATGATGATGGTGATTTTGATGACGATAATGACGATGGTGATGATTTTCGTTCACTAGTTGTTGCTTTTCAGTTGGAAGTTAGTCACCATATCCCTTCAACACTAACTGTGTCCAGCACGACACTTTTGTTAGTCGAAATCCATGAACTCCATAGGATACCACGTTTCTTTGAACTCGTGCTCGTACCACAGAATTTCATCTGCATTATTTACACGATTAACAACACATATGTTGGAGATGCACGCGTGTAACGCAGTGGTCGGAGGCGCCCTGCAATACATACAAGAACGATCGTTGCGCCGAAGCCCCACCAAGCCCTCTGGGGTCGGTAAATTGGTGCTATGCTTGTGTGGGAGGATAGCAGCATCGGGCAGTTCATTTATTCATTTCATTTTTGCGCATCCGTTGTCTACGAAGGTTTTTAGATTTTTGTGTGTATTCGTCAGTCAATCGAGGATTTTGGTCTTCTTTAACAACGTCATTAAATTCTGATCGACTAACTTCTGCCTGGAATCCTGGCATAGTCCTGCTAGTGTTTCCACAGCGGTACTCGCTAGTCTTTGTAGATCTGAAGGAGATTTTCTGCAACAGGTCTGTCAGCAATTTAATTTACCGATCGCGATGGTATGGAAGCATTGCTTGACCTGGCTTGTGATCGAAACAACATCATGCGTCACATTCTACATCTGTACCACTGCGCTACAAACACCTAGTTCCTTCAACGTGACCACCTGTATCACCTGTCGTCCCGTTGATCGTCGGGTGACTCGAGCGACCGCCAGTAAATCATTCATTTTTCCCTGTCGCGTGCAAGAGTAGCCAATTCTGCTCGCTCAAGAAACACATCGAGCATCATATCTTTCTTCAAGGCTCTTTGTGAAGAACTCTGATCATCGGGTCGGTGGTCTTCCTGTAGTACGTTTGACATCCCGAGGAATCAAGTCACTAACGGCTCTTGTCCATCGGTGGTCATTCATACGCATTACGTGTCCTGCCCACCTTACCTTCGACTGTTTGGCGCACAGAACGGCATCTTTGATTTTTCATCGTCGACGCATATCGGAGCTTCGGATCCCATCCCTTGCTTGTGTGGAACGGGATACTCCTAGCATCATACTTTCGACTGCGCGTTCGATAACGCTGAGTGGCCTTTCATACTGCTTACGCAGCGGCCAGGTTTCTGACGCATACGTTAGGGCAGGAAGTACCGTCGAGTCGAAAAGGTGGGCACGGATTCGGGTGTTTTTCGTCCTCTTCACTAATCTTCGATGCTTTTCCAAGCTCCCCAAGCCGCTCGTTTCCTTCTGCTCAGCTCTGGAGCTAGGTCGTTCGTCATATTGATTTCCCGACCTATATAGATATAACTAGAGCATTCGGAGATATTCGTTCTGTTGAGCGTGAATGGGACATGCGAAACCAATCCATTCTTCATGAACATCGTTTTCGTGAGATTTAGTAGAAGACCAATCTTTCCAGAGGCCGTCAAGCATACGTTCCGCTTGGCTAATATTTAGTGTTATAAAGAACATGTCATCAGCAAAGCGAAGATTGTGTAACTGCCGACCATCGATTTTCACTCCCATATTATCCCATTTCAATGCTCGCATGACGTTCTGGAGGGTGGCGGTAAATAATTTCGGTGAGATGGTATCGCCTTGCCTAACTCCTCTTTTGACGTCAATGTTAATATCGTTGTAGAATGGTGAGACCTTGGTTGTGAAATTTTTGTACAGCTCACGAAGAATCATGTACTGAGTAGCGACTCCTTGACTATCAAGAGCTTCCAAGACTGCTTGTATTACAACTGAAACAAAGGCCTTCTGTAAATCTGTGACAGTGAGACAGAGCGGTCTTTTGTACTCTCACGATACTTCAATGAGCAGTGTTACCGTGTGGATGTGGTCCATCGACTAAATCCTCTCCGAAACCCTTCTTGCTCACATGGCTATCCTTCGTCTAGTGTTCTGTCAATCCTGTTTAGGATGGACTCGAGTGAAAAGTTTGTAGACGACAGACAGCAAGCAGAGTGGGCGATAGTTGCCGATATCGTGTAGGTCACGCTTCCTGAACAGTAACACGGTTTTGTTGGTCTTCCACTGAGCAGGGACCTTGCATTCAGACAGGTAATTTGTGAAGAGCCCAGCCAGTGTGTTTACGAGGACTAGCGGTGCGATCTACTTCGTTATGGTATTCTCCATTGGGAGACTCTCAAGTCCATTGCCGAGGGTGGGGTTTCAGGAATTGCGATTTACCATGGGCTGTCTTGGTTGCCATGATAAACTCAGACAGCCGCTCATCCTGTTTGTTCCATTCTAATCCGTGGGTCCCAATGTGACGTTCTTCAGACGTTCTTCTTGGTCCAGTCTTGGCGTTGAAATCTCCAATCATGACTTTAAAGAATGTGTGGTCTTCTCTGTAGAACTTCTCCAAGTCCATATAGAACGTTTCGACTTCTTCTTCGTCACAGTTTGATGTCGGCGCGTAAACGACGAAGGTTGTCAAAGCCGGAATTGATCTATGTCTTTTTAATCGTAAACGTCCGATTCGGGTTGTAAGTTGTTCGAATGAATCGATGTTCATGGACAAACTCGTGTTGACGAGAACGCCGACGCCGCCGACTCCTCTACTGTCGCATGTTCCGAGGAACAGTTCCGAATAGCTTCCATTGGCTCTGAGAGTTTAGCAGCCTCTCTGTACTCGTCCTACCTAACGCTGAAAAATTGGAGGCTCATTCGGGGTCAACAGAGTGAAGCCCATTTTTTTTGCTGTGTTCAGTATTTTGATACCCACGGATAGCTTACTGGGCTTTGAACGTAGGGGCTGGGTATGCTCACGGGTAGCTTGCCAGACTCTCCCATAGTGAACATGGATCTTATTTGTTGAAGGTGACTCCTAACCGCCTCCCGTATACTTCCCTATCACTTGATTGCATGCTTTTGGTCGAATTGACCGCATAGGCGAGAACACACCCACACACGTATGCATGAATACTCCTAGCAAATACAGAAAGTATGTGCCAAATCAGCGCAGCAAAAACAGGGAGTTCATCCCCTGGATCCGCCTCCATCTCAGGGAAGCAAAGGTCGCTTTTGGTCCGCGATTAACCTCCTATTCGCCACCTGGGATGCGCCACGTATCCTCGCGACTAACCGGCTCGAGATCCTTCATGTGAGGGAGATCCGTGGCTTCAATTTGATACACATAAAATACAGATTTTTCTCTAAAAATTATCTACAAAATTACAGTGACAAATAGCAATTAAATTTCAGCGCCTAAGTAACGAAGATGTTAAAATCACAGTGTTAATTTTTTTTATTTACTGCCTACTGCAATTTTCCACCACAGGGTAATATGTGTGACGAAGCCACAATGGTGCTGAGATATTTGCAAAGCTCCCGACCGCAGGTGTCTACGGTGGGAGACGAAAGCGCTATTATCCTTTCCGGGGCCGGGGAGTGACACGTTCACCACTACACCATGCGTGTCCTTCGTTTCGCCCGTCTGTCAGCTAGTTTCGGTGATGAGCGCATTAACCTCCGGAAAGGGTAATAGCGCTTTCGTTCTCCACTTCAGGCACTTGCGGTCCGGAGTTTTACAAATATCTCAGCACCGCTGAGGACGTTGTAGTTTGTTAAAATTGTCAAGAATGTTCTCCATGTCATTCTTCCATCTTCTTCAGAAATTCTGCATTGATGGAAGTTCATCAATATAAAGATCACTATCGTAATATTGCCTATTCCTGAAGTTTTTCCCATCATCTGGCAATGAGCTCATAGATTCTACTAAAGTTTTGTTTTAGGAGACTTTGGATTTCATAGATAGTCTGAAATTCGAAAGCCTACTTTTAAGAGATTTTTCCATTTTCCAATTTCCATGGTTATATGTAGCAGCAGTGCTTGCATATAATTTCTTTTGTAGTCATCGTAATTATGTCGTAATCAAAGGATTTATTTATGACGAAGTCGTGAAGAGTAGAAAAATATTACATAAAATATTTTGCTGTGGGAGCGTGTGTGCCGCTGTGTTCGGAGGCGCCGAGGCGCCCTGCGACACACACACGGGATCGATCCATGCGCCCATGGCTCACCAAGCCTTCCATCCCTCCAGGGTCGGCAAAGTGGTACCAGACTTGTTTGGGAGGATAGCAACACTGGCTCTATAGATCGGTAGGCCATCGCTAGTCATTGTAAAAGCCACATATGCACTCAGTCAGCTCCAAACAATACTTAATGAAATCGAATGCATGGTGCATCCCTCAGGCTTTGATCAACACCGAAAGCTTTATCCTTTATCTTTTCTTTATCTTGTTGTGCTAATAGACTAGCACGAGGTTGTTAGAAAAGTCTTATTGCGGTTGAGCTTTCAACTCGATCGCCTTCTTCAGAGCTACTGAGATTCGACTCGAGGGACCACAACGGTAGCTTCATCTGACGATGTGCTTCCTTCCTCGTCTTCGCATCGAGTGCAATCTTCTGGACTGAAGTGCCACTCGCATGAAGTAACCTCACTCAGTGGTGCCTTCTAACACAAGACAGCTTCTTATCTCGTGCTCATTATTTTTTCATGCCAAGGTATTGTGTGGAACACAACCACAATGATGTTGAGGTATTTGCAAAACTCGGACTCTAGGCCAGATTCAAACGCGTGATTACCCCTTCCTGCTGCTCACGTGTTATCCATTGCACCACTGTGGGCCTTTGCTTTGTCTTTCTCTCCGCCTGTTTTTTCACCCTAACAGCTTTATCAGCATTCACCTGTCAACAGAAATGGTCTGGGGTCCGAGTTTTGCAAATATCTCAGCATCATTACAGTTGTATTTCACAGCAGACCGCCATGAAACAATAGTGGGCAATAAGTAAAAAGCTATACACTGTGATTTCGACTGTAGCCTTAGCTTAACTTGGTTTAATGCCGATTTGTGCTCCATAGATCCTTCCCGTCGACGAATGATTGCTGACGGAACTGTCAAAAAAGAGGGTAGAGCTGCCGGCGTTGATCAATTCTCGAGAATCGCACCATGAATTCGCCTTCATTAAGCATTGTTGGAAGTCATTCAATGCATATCTGCCTTTTAAAATGACTCTCGATGGCCTACCGATGTTTCGAGCCAATGATACTGTTTTCTTAGACAAGTATGGTACTAATTTGGTGACTCGAAAGGGATGGAGGGCTTGGTGAGCCTGCGGCGCTGGGATCGATCACATGGGTTTTTCAGGACTCCACTGATCACTGCGCTACACCCGGTCTGAGA